CATTTTGCTGTGGAGAGTCCGGAAGCGTGAAGGTCTGGCGGATGCCTCGTGCACGACAGTAGGCTCGCAGAAGGCCAGAGGAGAACTCTCCGCCTCTGTCAGAGTGCAGACGCAGAATAGGAAAGTCCGAGCCGAAACTCTCTCTGAGCTGGAGACGAGCTGCGCGGATCCAGTCGATCAACACCTCAGTGACATCACCCTTGCTGCGCAAGGGGAAGACTGTGGTGTAACGCGAGTAGTCGTCAACCACCAGCAGGAAGTAGCGCTCGTGACCCTGTCCACGGACGCGGGCCGGGCCCCACACGTCCATGTGAAGCGTCTGCAGCGGGGCCTCTGTCGGAGGAAACTGGGAGGAGTGAGGGGCAGCACGCTGCCGCCCCTCGACACAGGGGACGCAGGTAGGGGCAGGCCCCGAAGGAAGAGGAGGGAGGGACCGGGGAAGACCAGAGACAAGGACACGGGAGGCCATGCCTCGGAGACGAGGCAGGGAGGGGTGACCAAGGCGGTGGTGCCAGAGGAGAGTCTCGTAAGACAGGAGGCGACACGAGCAGGGGGCAGACTCAGGACCAGACCTGGACGCTGCAGCAAACACCTGACTTGACGTAGCTACCTGACCAGACGCAGTGACTGGAGGAGACTCAGTGGTCAGTGTGTACAGGCTCGACCCCAGCCGACGTGTAAACGTGGCCAAGTGTCGGCCCGTCCGAGCGTCCGTGCAGTGGGTCACACGCTGGCTCGCAGGAGTGAACTGGTGAACCCCCGCATCCTGTAGGCCAGCACCACTCACCAAGTTCGTAGAGAACGAGGGGAGGTAAAGACCAGACAGGGTGCCAGAGGGGGCCGCCGGACACGGGAGGACAGTGGAGAAGTGAGCAAGGACAGGACCCCCAGAGGGGTCTGCCAGAGAGACTGCAACTGGCCGACCAAGCGGCGTGAGTGTGGTGCGGTCTCGAAAGAAGGAGCGAGAAGCCCCCGAGTCAAGAGTGAAGGTGTGGGAGGCCGGAGCCGACGCAGTACCTGAGAGAGCAGACTCACCAGCACCTGAGGAAGCAGACGCACTGGCACCTAGAGCAGCAGCCTCGCTAGCACCTAGAGCAGCAGCCTCACCAGTACCTAGAGCAGCAGTCCCAATGCCCGGGTCGGGCGGAAAACACTAGTAACAGTCACCCTCATCACTAATAGTCACAGCATACATGGCAGCAAGAATAGCATCAAAGTCAAGGTCAAAGATAGCTACTCCCGCCCTAGACAGCTCGCCCCAGCGAGGGATCTCAGTGGCCTCAGGGAACTGGTGACGCCAAGCGTCCGTCAGGCGGCCAAAGCAGCGCTGGGTGGAGTGTGCACCCCCGCACGGCTCACCCGCGCGGTCGCCGGTGCGTAGGACGTAGGTGCACGGACCAGTACCCCCACCCCGCTGGCGTGCAGCGTACCACTCACGAAGCTGCTGAGGGGGGGGGATCTCACGAGTGCGCTGCTGCTGCTGCTGCTGCTGGCGCTGACCACCACCGGAGCCGACCCTCTGCGCAGCGCCACCCCGACCAGCTCCACCTCCTCCGCCGCCGCCTCCTCCACCGCCGCCACCTCCGCCACCTCCGCTCCCACCGCCACCGCCGCCGCCGCCTCCACCTCCACTGCCGCCACCGACGCCCCCACCCCCGCCACCACCCCCACCGCCACCCCCACCCCCTCCGCCGCCTCCACCGCCGCCTCCACCGCCCCCGCTAGCTCCTCCAGCGCCCCTGCCCCCCTTGCCCTTGCCAGTGCGGCGTCTCCCGCTAGGGGCAGACGCCGCACCGACCGACTCAAGACCAACGAGGTCGGCCGCAGCAGCAGAGGCAACAGAGGGCAAGAGAGGAGAGGGGGAGCACCCCTCAAAGACAGGGGCACGAGGGTCACCACGAGAGGCTCCTACAGCGACTATGCTCTTATCTGCTGCTAGGAGGCGCTCCTCGAGGAGGTCAACGGTGAGGGTGGTGGGGCAAACAGAGAGAAAGTGGTCCCTGACTGGGCGAAGGGTGTCAGGGAGCCGGGTGACTATGTAGTAGAGGGTGATGTACATAGGGGGGGGGTTCTTGGCGCAGAACTCAGGAGGAAGGGCAGCGCGGTAGCGAGTGTCACTAGTGCGCAGGTGCGTAATGAGGTCAGCGAGTGTGGGAAAAGCGGCGAGGTCAGGGAAGAGGTACGGCAGGATGAGGCGGCTAAGTGCAGCAGTGGCAGGGGAAGAGTAGCGTGCAACTACAGCGTCGTACAAGGTCTTAGCACTCTTGTACTGACTAAAGTGTGCACGCTCAGCGGTAGGCAAGTGGCGGCGCATAGCAAGACGGGCAGCAGCGTCGCGTGTGGCCCACTGTGAGCGAACAGTGGCGTCAGCATCAGCAGCAGGGGCAGAAGAGGCACCAGAAGTGAGGTCAAAGAGAGAGAGACCGTCTGCCCTGTCGCACTGTAGGAAAAGCTGCAGGTCATCTACCCAGACGTCAAAGTCAATGGCCCGACCCTCAGCGTCAAAAGCGAGGACACTGGGGGTAGCCATGACAGCAGTAGACTAGCAGCTGGAGCAGTAGGGTAAGGGCAGCGCAGTGGTAGAGGTGCCGCTCTTACCGGACAGGGCGGCTCGGGCGGCTCGGCGGCTCGGCAGCAACTGCAGCTCGGCGGCTCGGCGACTCGGCGGCTCGGGCGGCTCGGGCGGCTCGGCGGCACGGCGGCTCGGCAGCAACTGGAGCTCGGCGGCTCGGGCGGCTCAGGTGGCTCGGCGGCTCGGGCAGCTCGGGTGGCTCGGGCGGCTCGGCAGCAGCGGCGGCTCGGTAGATCGGCGGCTCAGCGGCGCCGGCGGCTCGGTGGTGACGGCGGGGCCGCGTGGGGACGGCGGCAAGGCCGCTGAGGGCGGCGGCGGGGCCACGAAGGGTGGCGACCGGCGCCTTAAGGGTGGGGCCGCGGGGTCGCAAGGGTGGGGCGACGGGGCCAGCAGAGGCGGCGCCGGGGCCGGGAAGGGCGGCGCCGGGGCCGAGAAGGGCGGTGCCGGGGCCGGGAAGGGTGGCGCCGGGGCCGCAAGGGTAGGCGACGGGGCCGCGAGGGCGGCGTGGAGGGGTCGCGAGGGCGGCTCGAGGAGGCCGCGAGGGCGGCGCGAAAGGGCCGCGAGGGCGGCGCGAAAGGGCCGCGAGGGCGGCGCGACGCGACGGGACCGCGAGGGCGGCGCGCCGGGGTCGCAAGGGCGACGCGACGGGGCCGCTAGGAAGGCGCGACGCGACGGGGCCGCTGAGGCGGCGCGACGGGGTCGTAAGGGCGGCGCGACGGGGCCGTGAGAGGGGAGCGCGACTCGGGCAGAGGCTGAGCGCGCTCCGGGCAGGAAAAAAAAAATTTGGTGGGCCCTAGGAACAGTTCCCTTAGGGGAACCTGCTCTATACCATGTGAGAATGAACGAGGAATGAAAATGACTAAGGGAAAGTTGGGTACAAGTGCAAACCCTAGAAAGCTGTACCCCATATGTGCTACCCCACTATAGCCTACAGCAGCTAAGTCATATAAATCTGACACAACAAACATGTACAGCTCGCTTAGAATATAGTAAATGTTTGAATAGTAAAAATAAACATTGTTTAACATAACAAACGGAAGCTGGTTTTGCACAGGCCTATCCTTGCACAGTTCTCCCTGCTCGCATGTTTGGAACATCATATATCCTTACTAAATGCTGCGAATGACACCAACCCTGTCCAATACGTTTAGAATATAGTAAATGAAGGCATGATAGAAAGAAATATTGTGTCAAATAACAAACGGAAGTTGATTTGGCACCTCGTAATAGCACAGGCCTATCCTTGCATAGTTCTCCATGCTCGCATGTTTGGAACATCATATATCCTTACTAAATGCTGCGAATGACACCAAACCTGTCCAACACGCGTAGAATATAGTAAATGAACCGCTGATAGAAAGAAACATTGTTTCAAATAACAAACGGAAGTTGATTTGGCACCTCGTAATAGCACAGGCCTGTCCTTGCACAGTTCTCCTTGCTCGCATGTTTGGAACATCATATCTCCTTATTAAATGCTGCGAATGACACCAAACCTGTCCAACACGCTTAGAATATAGTAAATGAAGGCATGATAGAAAGAAATATTGTGTCAAACAACAAACGGAAGTTGATTTGGCACCTCGCAATAGCGCATGCCTATCCTTGCACAGTTCTCCCTGCTCGCATGTTTGGAACATCATATCTCCTTACTAAAATAAGATAGCCTATCAACCTGGCCTCTTGATATAAGGGTGAATCACCCTTATGACCCTTACTATAAGGGTGTGTTCTGATTCGGACCCTTACTTTACAAAGTGGATTTTTTTCTGACACTTAGAGGAAAAAGTGAATATGTTTAGGACCCTGATATTTCAGAGTGAAGTGGTGTAGTCGCACTGATCGGGAACATACATCCTCCTCAAAAAGTAGAGAATTAGCTCGAAGAACCGAGTCCCATGGATAACATTGCCCACCAAATGCCTCCCACAAGTATCGAGTCCCGCGTCCCTTTCACTACAAGACCCACTGTGCTACCGTAAGTTGTCACGTCAGAGATCAACTAGCTGTTTACCATGAACAGTTCTAGTTTGGTTTAAACCCTTACAAAAAAGAGTGGTGCTTGCCTGGTACCCTTACAGAAAGAGTGAAAGCAGCTGGTTACCCTTATGAGAAAGACTGGTTCAAATCCTATCCAGAGGCCTGCTATCAACTCTATACATAGCGTATGCAAAGAAACCTCTGCTCTTCCACCTCCTGCTACTGCCCTAGTCGCTGTGGCTGCTGCTGCTGCACCAAATCCAATAGCTGATGCCATAATCGCTGCAGATCGATGAACCCCTGCTGATGTAGTGGCTGGCCCTGCTGTTGTGTATGATGGTACATTTGGTTCTGTTGCAATGCCTGCATCAGCTGCACCAGGTGCAGCCCTTGACCTTGGAGCTCCTCTTGCTGTACCTGATGCTGTGGTGGCAACTCCCACTGCTGCCTAAGCTGCAGCACCGTGTGCGCATGAGCTTGGGCAGTACCTTGGACAACACCTTGAGCACCACTTTGAGCACCTTCTACAACTGGTTGTTCCTCCAAATCATCCTCTGTATCTGAACTACTGCCCCACTCCTCATCCGATAATTCAACATCTTTATCCTCACCAACACCCTCTTGTTGTGGGCTACCATCCATTACCCCATCTGCCTGTCTGCTCTCCCTTCCCTCTATTGCCTAAGAGCCTCGCACACTACGACTCGGTGGTGCCTTCTGTTGCATGCAGAACATTGTGAGAGATGTGTATATACTTCAATAAGATTGGTAACAAAGAGAAGAGTACACCAAAGGATGGTATTTCGGGTTTAGGCTACAGCAATTATCAAATCATTACCGAGTCATTACGCATGCAAATACGGGGCCTCCATCTCTTTAATGTTGGGAAAGTCAACCTTTCCAGAATGTAATAAAGTGTAATTAAATAAAGTAGCCTACCAATTCTATACGTAGTGTACGCAACGAACAGCTGCTACCCCACCTGCTTCTACTGCCCTGGATGTTTCGGCTGCAATTGCTGCACCAAATTCAATAGCTGCCATTGTCGCTGCAGATGTTGTTGCTGATCTGGTGGTGGGAGCAGCTGTTGTTGATGATAGTACATTTGGTTTTGCTGCAATGCCTGCAGCAGTTGCAACAGGTGCAGTCCTTGACCTTGGAGCAGCTCATGCTGTCCCTGATGCTGTGGTTGCAACTCGCGCTGCTGCTGCTGCTGCTGCTGCTGCTGCTGCTGCTGGTGCTGCTGCTGCTGCTGCCCCTGCTGCCCCTGCTGCCCCTGCTGCTGCTGCCCCTGCTGCTGCTGCTCCTCCCACCGCCGCTGCCGCCCCTGCCGCCCCTGCCGCTGCTGCTGCTGCCCCTGCTGCCCCTGCTGCTGCTGCTGCTGCCCCTGCTGCTGCCCCTGCTGCTGCCCCTGCTGCTGCCCCTGCTGCTGCCCCTGCTGCTGCCCCTGTTGCCGCCCCTGCTGCTGCCCCTGGCGCTGCTGCTGCTGCTGCTGCTGCTGCTGCTGCTGCTGTTGTTCCCGCCGCCGCTGCCGCCCCTGCCGCTGCTGCTCGTGCCCCATAAGCCCCTGCTGCCCCTGCTGCCCCTGCTGCTGCTGCCCCTGCTGCTGCTGCTGCTGCTGCTGCTGCTGCTGCTGCTGCTGCTGCCCCTCTTGCTGCTGTTGCTGCTGCCCCTGCTGCCCCTCTTGCTGCTGCTGACCCCTCCGCTGCTGCTGCTGCTGTCCATGCCTAGGGTCCCACTGCTGCTCCTGCTCCCGCCGTCTCAAGCGTCTTTGCTGCAACTGCAAGCTTCTCCACTGGCGCCGTTGCTTCTGCCCCAACCGCAAGTGTTGCAGTTCCTCCTGCATTTCCACACATTGGTCATCAGCAACTGGCTCATCCACAACAACTGACTCTTGTGTATCGGGTATCCGGGCCTGTACAACCTGCCTGGCCCCTCCCCTTGGCTCCACACTCCCTGTTTCCTCTCTCTCCTCCCCGCTTGCTTCAGCATCCACTGTTGCCGGCCGTTGATCCCCACGACCTGACTCGGATGCCACCTGTCTCTGCTGACGCAGGTGCTGCATTCGCCGCAACCGAAAACGAATGACGTTATCACCATTGTTATGATCTCCTACACCTCCACCCACCCCTCCACTCTCTGTGGCTCCTCCTCTCAGCCCCACTCCACCGCTCAACCCTGGTCCTCTCTCACCCCCCACCCCTCCACTCTCTGTGGCTCCTCCTCTCAGCCCCACTCCACCGCTCAACCCTGGTCCTCTCTCACCCCCCACCCCTCCACTCTCTGTGGCTCCTCCTCTCAGCCCCACTCCACCGCTCAACCCTGGTCCTCTCTCACCCCCCACCCCTCCACTCTCTGTGGCTCCTCCTCTCAGCCCCACTCCACCGCTCAACCCTGGCCCTCTCTCACCCCCCACCCCTCCACTCTCTGTGTCTCCTCCTCTCAGCCCCACTCCACCGCTCAACCCTGGCCCTCTCTCACCCCCCACCCCTCCACTCTCTGTGGCTCCTCCTCTCAGCCCCACTCCACCGCTCAACCCTGGTCCTCTCTCACCCCCCACCCCTCCACTCTCTGTGGCTCCTCCTCTCAGCCCCACTCCACCGCTCAACCCTGGCCCTCTCTCACCCCCCACCCCTCCACTCTCTGTGGCTCCTCCTCTCAGCCCCACTCCACCGCTCACTGCTGGTCCTCTCTCACCCCCCACCCCTCCCCTTGGTCCCACTCCTACACTCACTGTTGGCCGTCTCTCAGCCCTTCCTCCTCCTCTCTCTGCAGATCCTCCCTGCACTCCCACCCCCCCGCTCACTGTTGGTCCTCTCTCAGCCGTCTCCACTCCACTCCTGTCTGCTCCTCGCCTCGCCCGGACTCCACCCCTCTCCGCTTGTCCTCTTCCTCTCCCTGCCCTTCCCCTTGTTTCTGCTGGTCCACCCCTCCATCCGCCTCCCCCCATCTCTGCTACTCCTCCCCTCCCTCCGACTCCTGCATTTTCACCTGCTCCACCCCGCCCTCCTACTCCCCCACTCTCTGCTGCTCCTCCTCTCCCTGCCACTCCTCCCCTCCCTGCATGTCCTCCCCTCCCTGCATGTCCTCCCCTCCCTGTATGTCCTCCCCTCCCTGTATGCCCTCCCCTCCCCGTATGTCCTCCCCTCCCTGTTCCTCTTCCCATTCCAGTCGTTTCCCCTCTCTTAGCCACTCCTCTAACATCAGCCATTCCTCCTTCATCTCGCACTACTCCCCTCCCTCCTGCTCTTGCCTCTCCTCCCATTCCCCCATTCTCACCTCCTCCTCCCAACCCTCCGCCTCCCCCATTCTCACCTCCTCCTCCCATCCCTCCTCCTCCCCCATTCTCACCTCCTCCTCCCAACCCTCCGCCTCCCCCATTCTCACCTCCTCCTCCCAACCCTCCGCCTCCCCCATTCTCACCTCCTCCTCCCATCCCTCCGCCTCCCCCATTCTCACCTCCTCCTCCCATCCCTCCCCCTCCCCCATTCTCACCTCCTCCTCCCATCCCTCCGCCTCCCCCATTCTCACCTCCTCCTCCCATCCCTCCGCCTCCCCCATTCTCACCTGCACCTCCCATCTCTCCGCATCCCCCATTCTCACCTCCTCCTCCCATCCCTCCAAATACTTCACGCAGAACGGTGTGCACATGACCTTGGACAGCACCTTGAGCACCAGCTTGAGCACCTTCGACCACTGGTTGTTCCTCTACATCATCCTCTGAATCCGAACCGCTGCCCCACTCCTCATCCAATAATTCAGCATCTCCATCCTCACCAACACCCTCTTGTGGTGTGCTACTGTCCATTGCCCCATCTGCCTGTCTGCTCTCGCGTTCCCTCTGTTGCCTAAGAACCTCGCACACTACTCCTCGGTGGTGCCTTCTGTTGCATGCAGAACATTGTGCCACACTCACTCGAGCCTCCGCTCGTGTTGCTGTTTGAACACTCATGTGCCCTGCTGGAGTGTGAAGTGCCTCCCATGCATCTCTTAGTTGTTTACGCAAATCACACGTCTTTCTGTTGTGCCCCTTCTCTCCACACTTCCCACACTTACGCAGTTTTCTACCATCGATCTCACCGTGGGACCTCAACCGGGTAGTGCGTGGCCTTCCCGATTTTTTGGGATAGGCTGGCGGGAGAGTGGTGCGATCTGGAATTACCATTGTTCGGTCTAGAGGTTCAACCTCCGTGCTGTAGAGTTCCTTCAGGGCGGCTGAAGTGTAGCATCCATGCACCATGGCTTGCACCACCTGTTGTAGAGCCGCCAACTCATTCCCTCTAGCAGGCCGGCTGAGATGAAGGAGTACTGCGAAGATGTGCACGCATGGGAGTCCGTACTCACTGCAGAAGGACAGGAACAATACAACAAAGGAGAACGGGAAGCAACACACATCAGAACACGACCATTAAGCAAGGATTGCATGGGTGCAAGGCTGATTTGGTGAAAATCTTATGATTGTGATGTGACACACACAAAGCATCTTGTGGGAACACAACAAATAGTGCAGATACTCAATCACGACTACATAATATTCACCTTTTTTTGTATCACCTAGTGTAGTTACACGTGCACACCGTCTTCTCAGGGTGCTCCTCATCCATCTTCACCACACGCTCCTCCGTAGCTCCTATCCTGCGGCTCACATGATACGAACCCCGCCCTGTACGCTCCACTTTGTACTGTGTCCCCGTCTGGCAGTTAGCTCGGATGATGGCTGCTGTTTTGGGGGGGAAATCAGCAACCCCCAAACTTCCATACAGCGCACGCCCCTCTTCCATTGCCGTCGCTTGCTGCTCTATGAATGAAAGCAGCACTTGCGCGGGATTGTCCTTTCTAACCTTGCGCATAGAGGCATGGTACGATTCCACCGGATTCGAAGTGTAGCTGCCATAGCGCGCTGCACCGAATGAGAAGGTAGCCCACTTCGCGGCCAATCCATCCCTCTCCAAATATTCTTTTCCCCCAGCACATTCTGCCTCTATCTTCTCCATGAAGTCCCGGTACACATCTCTGGTCAAGGCTGCCGCTGCTAGCTCGATCTTGCCATCCAAATCCGACCCAAATTTTGAATTAAAGTTTCTCACCAAGTGAGTGACACAAAAGGCCTCACGTATCCCAGGCAACACTCTTGTGGCATCAGCCTTCAACGCTTTGCCACGATCATGCATCAGGGTGAACTTTGGGGTGTTCAGCTCAGGGGCAGCACGCTTCAATAGCCCCAAGAAGTACTCACATGCCTCTGCGTTCTCAGCTTCTACCCATGCGCTCCCTAGCCTCACTAGCTTATGTTCACAGTCAATCATACACGCGTTAATGGTATGCCCACGCCACTTTCCCTTGTTGTGACAAGCATCAACAAAGATGATAGGAAAGCAGTTTTTGACAATTTCCCGAATTCCAGGATACACCACTGCGGCCCGATGAAACATCCTACCATTTAACTGCAGGGACACGACGCTTGTTGGATTTTTGGACCTAAAGACTTCCAAAATGCTGCCAATGTACTGGAACCCGTTATCTCCTGCTAACGGGTCCCCTTTTACCACGACATCATTTATTGACCGTGCAGTCGTAGAATAGCTGCAGTCCTTGCCTAATTTCTCTCGCACCAGGTCTTGCAATCCCCCGGGTGTAACGACGGTATGAGGATGTACTTCACGCACCAACCTGTTAACTTCCTCTCTCCTAATCCGACCAGGTTGTGGCACACACATGTGTGCGTGCTGCAGGTTCACAGATTTGACGCTGAGGCTGCAATCCCGAGGCCCGGTGACTAAAATCCTAAATGGGAAAAACCACTCTGGTGCGTTTGCCTCATCTTTGGGCCAGTCCTGATCTTTCATCGACGGACAACGGGCTTCTAGGCGGTCTGCTTTGTTGTGGAAAAAGTAAGGCTTGAAATTGTTCTGGTCGCCATAATCTACTATTGCATCCCTAGCGTCGCTCACGGAGGGGTAGACCTTTCCCGTGTGGATGTCGATGTCCTCTCTGCGTTGTCCCACAAATGCACTGTTCAGAAACATCGCACAATCAGTAGTGATAAAAATTATCAAAATTGGAAACGCATTGGCTGAATGTGCACCTATGCATGACCTATCATTCAGATTGCATGCGTGACACCGTAAAATCACCTTGCAATTGAGCTTCTGAACATTTTGCATGCGTTTTCTTTTAATAATTGATGCGTGCAAACTTCTTATGGCCTGAAAACCACAGAGGGAAGACACGTATGGTGGACAAGGTGTCAGCGTTAAAGATTGAACAACCAAATAGAGTCAACCAACGAGTAGGCGAGGTTCTATTCAAGAGAAGAAGATGAGAGGGTGGTAGATTGCAAGAGTTACAAGACAGGGTGGTTCGAAGAAGCTGAGATTGGGGCAGTGAACTAAAAGGCAAGCATTATATTTAGGAGGTTGACTTGAACTGGTGTATGTGAGTAGCAATGCTATGCTCGATGAGTGAAGCTAAACAGTGAGTGAAACGAGCATTGGAACATACTGTATCAAGGCAGGTGGTAGCGTTCTGAGAAGAAAGTTGTTCGTCCGCCTGCGGGAAAAGCATAAAGAACGAGTGAGGGGTTTGAAGGGGACGGATTAGAGGTACGAACGTTAAGAATCTAACGAATGAGCATACGAAATGGAACGGATTAAGGAGAGGTCGAATCAATCTCAATAATAAGAATATCGTTTGTTGTAAGGGCAAGTGTGATGCATGAGGAAACGTCGAGAGCGTGGTTGAAGAGTCTGAGCGGACATAGCATGTAGAAGCTCAATTACATAATGGAGGATTGGGATGGGGGGACCGTCATGACTCCACGGCTGGATACGCTTTACGAAATGTAATCTTGCAGACTCCGGAACATAGACATTTCGTCTATATGCAAATTGCACTGACAGTCCTAACTCTCAATTTTAAGATAAAGTACGGAAGCCAATGGCAGTAATGTAGTTAGCAAACTAGTGCAAACCCTAATTTCTTAACTATCGAAGTGGCGTGGTTGAGTTTCAGACGGAGGGAGTTCCATGTCTGACAATCACAACCTGCAGCTAGGTTGATTCATAGCTAGGGGGGACCTTGACGGAGTTTCTGTGCGTTTTCAGTGAAGCTGTAACAAGTATTGGCGCGAAAGGTAGGGCCATAGTGGTTTGGGAACAGTGGGCCGTCAAGCCACCCGGAACGTGGGATGGGTTCGGTAGAAAAGACAAGCGCGCGCAGTGCGGAATCTGTGATTGTGATGTACAGTGAGCGAGCAAGCGTAGGATGAAACACGTGGCTCATTGAGGGCTCGACTCCCTAACCTGAACAATAACCCTCCCCCCCTAGCCCAGCCTTTTGCGGAAACCATGCGCAGAAAGCGCTACCCCTGCCCTTTTAGCGGAGGGGTCCAGGTAACTCTCCCCGCTAAGCTGAAAACCCAAGTTGGAGTCCATCCGGGTGTTGATGGAAACTCCATCCGGGTGTTGATGGAAACTCCATCCGGGTGTTGATGGAAGGGAAATTATATGAGCAGTCACAATTAGGCCCGATTTATCAGTATCACGGACAGTCACAGTACACTTCGTTTCTATCGCGTGTGATCACAGCGCTATCACGGATGGTCACACCTTGCTCCAGATTGCTATCACGTTTGGTGACTGGTTGAAACGCACATTGCAATGCTTGAAACTCTCTACGTTACTATTGAGATTATGGGAGATTAAACTAGGAACGTTTTTGTCTGTAGAGGGAAACAATGTTACCTCCGAAATGGGATTGCTTTTACGTTGCTGTCTTCTTGCTAAAATCTATGCGCAGCGTGGCCCCCTTTGACTGTATTCGCCTCCCAAAATTGACTGTTTTTTTACCTCGTACGTGATTCTCGCCTAACATCTAATAGATAAATCAAACAAAAAATATTCCCGTATCAGATGTCATGCACTTTCGGGAGGCATTAACCCTCAACGCGATTTGACAAGGTTTTTAGGGTTGATGCATCCCGAAGAAAATCCCGTCCAAATTGGTTTTTTTTTTTTTTTTCACGAATAGCAAAATAAAATTCGAGTTTACCCAACCAAATATTAATCTAAGGAACATTATGCATCATTTCTGTTGTTATAAGTGAAGGATCGTAGTGGACAGGATAAGTCTGTCAAGTTTAAGAGATGACAATCAAGTCTCTGTAATGACATTGTTGATAAGTTGAAAGAGAACAAGATGATTAAAGGATATTGATACAAGGAATAAATAGCAATCCTAGCTAGCCATGTACTCTGAGGGGTACATTCCCTTTTTAACTGAATTGCATTGTTACAGTAACCACGACTATTGCCATTCTTGACAGTTACCATGTTGCATCGCATAAGTACCAAGTGCGGTTACTGGGCAGTCAAGGGTCACGACCGTTGACAGTCTTCGACTGTTGACCTTCGGGTGACCCTCGACCTTCCGCATGCTCTATATGAGCTATTGCGATACTGATGCAGGCGCGTTGCTTCGTTATGGAGTGACGCGCGAGTGGGGAGCCTTCGGGAATGTTACGATAATCTTTCGGTTATTCCAACACTCCCCTTCATTCCTGAAGGTGAGCCACGTGGGATTTCTTCGAGATCCCGCATAGGTCGGTGCAGTGCTGAAACTTCTGGCATGGTAGCTTCTTGGTCAGGAAGTCTGCTGCCATGTCACCAGTTGGGCAGTATGTGAGTTTGATCTTCCCTTTGTCGATTTCGTCCTTGACGAAGAAGTAACGTGGAATGCGATGTGTTTCGTGCGGTTCACGAAGCCGGGCTTGTTCGTGATCTTGATCGCGCTCTGGTTGTCGCAGAGTAACGTGAAGTGCCTGTTCATCGTCACTTTCGCTTCCTGCAGGAGCTCCATCAGGTACAGTCCTCCGCAAACAGCTGCGCTGGCGGCGATGAATTCAGCTTCGGCTGACGAAAGGGCAATGAGTTTCTTGCTTCTGAGAGTTCCAAG